GATATCAGAGCTCTCTATATCAGATCAACAGGAAGAGTTGTATTAAGAATTAGAAACAATTAATGTTCTTCTTCAATCTTGACATATCATTAAGGTACAAATACCAGTAATAGACACTACTAATAGGCAGTTATATACTCATTAACTAATAATAAGTTTTATATACCAATAGAGAGTGAAAATATGAGCAGATCTGCAGTTAATACACTTAGGAGGGTGATAACTGAATCCAAATGATATATCATGCTACAATAGCCAAATGGTAGTTGATTTTTTAATGGAGCAGGGCTTTTCTGTATGAGATTAGTTTGAAATTTTTCTTCTATTTGCCAATTCTTAGTTTAAAACTGTGCAGAATTTATTTTGGATTTTGGAAATTATATAGAAATCATATTGATTCCAAAACCTGACTGTCTATTACTGATGCAATATAAGTTGTCAGAATTTCCACAAGTTTTCATAAATAATTAACGCTATAACTCTGCATCAAATCGTCCGATTTCAATGATTTTTTTTTTTTTGTAACCAAAAATAGTCTACTTTTCCAGTTATTCGCTAATTATGAATACAATCTTAACGTCTAGATTCGTTGAGATGGCACCATCAAATGGTTTGAAATCACCCACTTATACAATCAAATTATGATTCGCGCATTCTACGTGATATTCCTTTTCTATAGATATCTCATTCATCTTCAGAAATAGTACATAAGAAGATTATATGCCAGACAACTCCCTCAATTCATATTATGACAATTATGGAATAATTAGAAATATTAATTACTAGATTTCGTGGTTCTCATTCCAACGTCAAACCAATTGTACGAAAGCAAAAAAAATCAAGTAACATATTTTTAAAATAAAGAGTTTTGTTGAAATTTCAATTCAATAATCCCTGATCCCAGGTCACTCCGGTTATCGTGCGGAGGATTTTTCTTTCAAATCTTTTAATACTTCTTTCTAGGATGATAGTTTGTGTCCAAGTCTAGAAAGCGCATATTCTAACTGGCTTTGTCATAGCATTGCACATTCTTAATTTGGGACTTTTCGGGATCCCGATAGCTGAAATACATCAATAGCCCTGACCGTTAGTAATTTATTGAGGTTATTTATACCCCTAAACATATAAAAAAGATAATTTGGTAATTAATAATACCAATTACAGAATCCGAAAGAACATGGGATTTTGAATAAGAAAAATCTTATTAATATTTGGGCGAAATTTAATAAATTTCATATAAATGGTGTGTAAGAGAAATCTTTTCTCTCGTATTAATAAAAAATTTTCTTTCGTATTTTCTCATATTTAAGTAGACTTTTATGTCATTTTATATCTGCATTCTCACTAAAATATAAATGAAAAATATTAATTATTTAATGGGGTATCAGTATTTTTAAATTGTAAATTTATTTCTATATTATAGAATATAAACAGTAACATCATTTAAGACTAGATTACCCCACTAAACATACAATTAGAAAAAAAATATCAACTTAAAAAAAATGAATTGGACATTAATAACAGACAAGTTAAGATTAAATGAAGATTTACGGTCAGATAAGGATTTAGTAAACCAGCCCATACCGCAGAAGAACTAGAAACTTAAGCCCCGCGGCATAAATTCAAAGTTATGTAAGGCGAAGTTATGAAGTCCTGAGAGGGGCGCTTTGTAGGTTGTGCGGAGGATAGAGCTCCATTAGGAGGAAACTCATCTAGATGAAAATTTTCCCCTCATAGAGAATCCTTATTCCAGTCCAAGTGCTCCTTAACTTTTCCTACGAGGGTGAAATACATAGGCCAGTTAAACTATTCCAAGACCATCATCAAGATATAACTCATTAACATAAGATTAAACTAGAGAAACCCAAATTACAGCCGTTTTAAGGCATTTAAAGTTAATAGGTGATATTATAGTGATATAGGTTAATAGGACGCAGTCATTGTGAATATTTTTTATTGGTGCCAACGTTTCAACCCAAGCTTGTGGGTCATCATCAAGACATGTTTCGAGCGCCCATTTAATCAAATACTGTGAATAAATTTGAGTACTTGAATACCTTCAGTGCTCAAAACAAGCCCTGATGATGACCCACATGCTTGGGTTGAAACGTTGGTACCGAGAAAAAATATTTACAATGACTGCGTCCTGACTATTTATCACCCATGATATGTAGAACAGTCGACTAACTTCCTTCAACATTTATAGTTAAATTAATAAAAATTATAGTGAAACAATTACTAATATAAATTTTAAAATATTACGCATCACTGTCTTTACTCATTGTATCAGATTTTAAATTGACAAAAAAAAATTGAATCTTGATACTTAAATTAATTCATATATAAATATTTTTTAAAAATGCTTTCAAAATTGTCTTCAAACGACTCACTTGGAATCCTCATACAAGACTGAAACGAAAAGAAACCGCTCGACGTTTCCGACTACTTCAACACTTACTAGACAAACGCTCTAACCTTCCAATTAATTACAAAAGACTCATATACATGACTATAATAAGGACTGTTTGGACTTTCGGAGTTGAGCTATGGGGCTCTACCAAATCTTCAAATTCCTCTCGTATCCAATCCTTACAATCCAAAATCCTCTTATCCAATCCAAAATCCTTCGTAAAATCTTCAATGCTCCTTAATTTGTTACAAATAAAATCAACCACAATGACATTAATGTTCCTTATGTATCAGATTTGGCCCGATACAGATATATATCCTTTCATAATAAACTTCATAACCATACCAACCCTCTTGTTTCTAACCTTGCTTCCTATTCAATTCCTGATAACCCTCCGAGGCATCTGAAAAGAAGTTGGCCCCCTGATCTCCTAATATAGACATATTATTAGAGTGCTACCAACGGGTAGTTTCTCAACATGTGTATTATGTCATTGTATCCATGTACGAATTTACTAGATTTATTTTTTTTAGATTTATACAGTTGTAAATATCATATAAATAATTATTTAAAAAAATTAACTCAGATCGACAGATATTAGGCAATTAAGTCCTCCAGTACCTATAACACCACTCCAGCCCCCTGGAGGGTTTTGGGTTTTATTACTTTGTAATAAAACAAATAACAATATCTGCGAAGAAAGGAAATCGTTCCTGAGAGTAGACAAATTGAAATACCTCGGCTCCACAATAACCTCAAGAAATGACCAACAAGCGCAGAGCTTTCTTCTCTCTTTCAAAGGTATCGAAATTAAGGAAAACCTTAAATTAAAGGTGTAGAATGCTATGAAAAAGTCCGTTTTTGATGTAAGGCTGCGAGAACTGAACACTAACCAGTACCCTAGAAGTATTTAAAGGTTTGAGAGAAAAATCCGCAAGATAAACGGAGCGATCAAGGATCAGGGTACACGTGAAGGAGAAAGACCGATAAAGAACTGGTCACAAAATCTGGTCAATCAATATCTCATAATAGGAACCCAAGGATGTTAAGGTGGACGGGGCGGGGCATGTAGCTTGGGACAATCCATAAGGAAGCCTCTACACAACAATAAATGCCTCAGTAGTAGTCATAAGACCAAGTAGAAGGCTAAAAACCAGTTAGGTGAATTGAATGAGCAATGATACAATAGAGTTATACATAAGGATAAGTAGAAAGAAATAGTTCAAGACAGACATAGAAGAAGTCGGCAAAAGATCTACAACCTAAATCACACAATTTTGGTCATGGCCGCACTGCCCTAGATCATAATAACCAGTTATTATATTTTTAACGAGTCGAATACTTAATAACTGTAATAACTGGTAGTTTAATCGAGTACATCTGAGTGACTTAATATCAAATACGAACATCCGTCATTTTTAAAAAAAATCGAGAAAAAGCCATTTTTTCTAACATAGTTTCAATTCAAATGAACTCCAATGATATTTTGTATAATTCAACATAAGCATTCTTAAATAAGATCATCAGAAACAGTTTGAGTTGAATCTCTAAAATAAAAATTGACTTTTCCTCCGCTTTCTGAAAATGACAGATATCCGTCTTTAAGATGAAGTCACTCATATATAACATTTTATTTGATATATGTTCAACAAGTATTGTTAGTGTTGCAAGGAAATTGTCAGGCAAAAGAAATAGCCAAACCATAACAGCTAAATAAAACTTTTCCCCGTATATTTTTTTTATTTATCTTTATTGCTTGTATTTTTATTTTATTTTACTAATTATTTTGTAAATATTTAATTCAAGTTATGGACACATTAATGTGCTAATTTATATTCTGCATTTATAATTTGGACTCTAGTCCCAGAATAAAAGTATTTTCATTTCAATTTAATTATATTTATGCATTTACAAATTCTGCTCAGTAGATCTAAACACGTTTCATTTATGTATATATATATACATTTCAATGCTCTCTATCCCTATACAATTAATATAGAAAGAAGGGAGAGCCAAAGTATAGTCGAACCAAGGGTCTACATTTTCTTTCTAGTCTGCTGTGAGCCACGGCGGCATCAATGACTAGATTCTCACATTTTTCTTACTATTAAATTATTCTATAGTAATTAACTTAAAAATAAATTAAAACTATGAACATGTTTTATGCAAAAGAATAATTTAATTAAAATTAAAAAAAAATTAAGTTGAAATAACTTAAATTAATGGTTATGAAATCAATTAACGCCATAAAACAGGATAGAAGCGGTGATGTTTATACAATAATTTGTTATAAAATTTAATTCAAAAAACAACTTTATTTCGGGACAAAGTCCACAAAGAGATACCAAACTCCAAGCCTCTAAACGTAATTTACATAAATCGATTTTTAAAAGCTCATAACATAAATATTTATGAAGAGCCAACGAATCAAATATTCCAAAAGAAGAAAAAAAGAACTTTGTTGTTATCCGTCACAGTTCTTTTTCAGCCCAATATACATACACATATGTTATAACTAAATTTACAGATTAATATTATATATTAAAATTAAATAATAAAGTAATACATATAATAAATGATATAAACTTACACTATTCTGTTCGAGGATTTGAAGGGCTCTATTTACGTTATTTAATTTATGCACCCTCATTCGCCCTTTTTCTCTTTTCTGGAACGAAAAAAAAAATTATTTTATAATAGAGTATTATGTATTTTGTAATAATTTATAAAAATCATTAACAAAGCTATGAGAACGTACACCGACAGTATACCTCTAAAACACGCATTATAAAAAAAAAATTCAATAAGAAATAAAACAGAAAATTTATATCACAGAAAAAATTTATGATTGCTACTAGTTGTATATTAAAACTCCCTAAAATTGTTAAGGAACATAATAAATTCTAACAAATAAGTGAACATGAGATAGTTAAAATATTTCAATGATTTAGTGACTATGAAGATTTTGGAAGTAAGCCATCGATATTTCAAAACTAAAAATATTTAATACTTACGTATTCTTTGCCGGTGAGTATTTCCAGTAGCGACAGTAAATTTGTACCATCTTGTAAGTCTGTGACTAAGTCGTTGATCGCATTGTGTTGATTACACTGCAATAAATAAAAATATAAAATTAGATGCAATAAGAAAAAATATATTATTAATACAATAATTAGCAAAAACATCAGAGAATCGGTACAATTAAATTTCCGTTAACTAATGAAGTTAATTATACCAGTAAATAATGAAGATAATTTAAAAATAAATATGAGTAAAATATAAAAACTCATAAAATTAGTAAATAGTAATGTACTAATCTATAGATTAAATTGTCCCTTTCAGTCCGTGGTACAGAGCCCTTTTTATCAAATTATTAACATCCGCCTGAAACTTTGTGAATAGCTTCACCTCATCGTGACCAAAACATATTCTATTTACGAAAACTCTTGTAATTGGGGCGTTTTCAATCTGGAGATTGGCAAACTTTATCTATTTAATGAGGAACTAAAAACTCGTAAATACCCATTTGCTTTTCACTTAGATCGGAAGATAATTTTATCACAAAATCGAGGAAAAAGGTGACCTACAATAATATTGGGCCGTTTGGCCTATATAATCACTTTATTTTGAAATTTTGGAATTGAAGTGTAGGTCACGCCAAACGGTCCAATATTTTTGTAGGTCACCTTCAAGTGGAAAACAAATTAGTATTTACGATTTTTTAGTAACTAAATAGACAAAGTTTGCCGATCTCCAGATCGAAAACGATCCAATTCCGAGACTTTTTGTAAATAAAATAGTTTTAGGTTACGATGAGATGAAGCTATTTATGAACTTTAGAGCGGATGTTAATAATTTAATAAAAAGGGGTCAGTATCACTGACTATTATTTAATTCACCAAATAGAGAGAAACACTTTATTTTCATAAAATATAAAATATAAAGGATTGCTGCCCAATTATATTATATATTATATACACAGCATACTCTTCTATCCTTAGGACAATATATGAACTTATATATAAATATACAGAAGTATTAGTTAATATTAGTAAAATAGATATACATATATATACATTTTTATTTTTTTTTTTCCTTTTTTTTTTCCCCCTTTTTCCTTCCTTTCATTGTTCATGCTTTTTTTTTTTTTTTTTTTTTTTATTTAACATTTGGTTTCCCTTTCTCTCACTTCTCTCTCTTTATCTCTATTGTTTTCAATTATTCATTAAATAAATAATGATATTTTTGTAGATTTAAGAATATTTGTTCTAATGTCTTTGTATACTGCAGGATCAATTGTCTCTATTTTTTCCAAACCAAAATGAATTTTGTCGAAAAATGAACAAAATTCAAATTGATTCTGTTGGTATATTTAAAAATAAATCTCTCTGTACCAATAGGCGAATGACATATTTTAATTCAACTCATTTAAACAATTATTCAAATATATAGTATTAATTCGGATTTTTATGGCTAGACAAGCGAACAAATTTGACAACCATTGTCAGTTTACTACGGGACAAGTTGAGTTACGAGATGGGACATTGTGATGAAATGAAAGAAGCCATTGAAATGCTACATCACAACGGGGAATTCTTGCGTAATAGCTTTTGCAAGAACGAATGAATTATTCCAAACCGGAGGGAACGTCTGCAGAAAAACTGGCGTGACATTCTGCTTAAGAGACAAGAAAAATAGCAATACATCGTTCAATGGACGGTATCGATATATAACAGAAAAAAAAATTAAAAGAGATAAAACAAAACCGAGGTTCTTTTAGACAGAGGCTTATCTCGGCATTGATTCAAATTAAAAAAAAATATATTCTTCACAAAGATAATTTACACCGTACGAGAAATTAGTTGAGGATTCGTTGATGAAATGACACACAGCTAAGAAGTCTAACTGAACTATGTGGCGACGTTTCGGAATTAGTTTAAAGTGTTCTTGCAGTTGACATCCGACGCCTTTCGTTCTAATGAACGCCAAAAATTAGGACTAAAACATAAGCACACAATACAATAAGCCTTCTTGTTCGTCTGTTATTTTATCGAACACCACACTCCCTAATCGACTTCTACTGAAATTGATTTTATTGTCATTAATATTTCAACGTCAATAATCTAGATCCAGAGCAAGGCAGCTTAAAGCAATGTATTTGCATACAAGGAATTTGAAACATCGGAGAATTTAGAGTTCATCTCACTGCCTCAAAACTTTAAATAAAAATTATATATATATATATATATATATATATATATATATATATATATCTGTAATAATAATACTTTATTTATTCTGGGACAAGTTCCTTTAGAATAATACAGAAATGTGGGCTAAGGAGCCTCTGAGATGTATAAATAATATCCACAACATAAATAAACAGTCATAATAAAAAAAGTATCAGTTACTTTATGAATTTAATCAATTAATAAAAAAGTAAATAAAACTATCTGGTGTGTCCACTCACACGACTTTCCTACCTATTTCAGAAAAGTTTTTGTATCTTTACATATGTTCATGAAGAAACAAACAAAAAATTGAACTAGATTTATTTTCCTGAAGATTCATCAAACAAATGTTTTGAGTAAGATTTATTTAATAAACTAAAATAAAAAGTAAACCGGCTTAAAGTAGATCAGTGTAAAAATTTCAATACTCAGAAATATTGCTGATCAAAAACTTTTTGCCATAGCTTAGTATTGTCAACAATAATTTCTGTTAAAAGTAAAGGAAATAGTGAAGATTGTGTGATGCGGGCAATAGATTTTCTTACTTTCGCTTAGTCTTTTATTATTCTCTCATTCACCCCTTTCTGACTCCAGGATATGAATCCGTAATCTTACATTGGAAATTGAATAGCTGTAACTTCGTTAATAGTTGTCCAAAATGAAATATTTTTATATGGTTTTGTAGGGAATTTCTTTCCTTCAAAGTTCCAAAGAAAATCACAGAATCAGACAGACAGACTGACAGACCAATGGCTAAAATGTGTTTTTCGGACTCAGGAGGCTCTGAAACGTATAGATCCGTCGAAAACCGCATATCGGAAATTGGACCGGATTGCAATACTTTCCTTACCTAGTATAGGTAGGAAAGTAAAAAATTATAAAACATAAATAAAAATAATAAAGAATGATCTCATAATTGATAGACATATTTATAGTAATATCTATTTATGTATAATATTTAAAACATATTACGTAATATATTCAATTGCTTTGTTGATATATTTCCAAATATCCATACGGAACAAAAAAATACATATTTAAATAAATACATTTTTTTTTTCATATTTAGTATTATATTGTTCGTTTAAAAATAATTATGTTGATTACGTGAATTGTCACTCATAATTTTTATACACAATATAAATTTCCAAGACTTTTTATACAGGTCCACCAACCCCCTCTCCCGCAACCAGACTGAAAAGTGCGACTTTGAATACGAGATTCCACATAGCCTATAAAGCAAATTATGAAACCTGTAAAGTTAGAATAGTTTGATCTGAATGAATCAAAAATAACGCCACTACCCAATTTAAAAATCATAATTGCTCAAATAAGCCTGAACAAGATTGACTCATAAAGTTTTAATTATAAAGATCATGTTTAAATTTATTTTTTGTTTCTTTGATTAACATTTTTGTAAGTGTTTTTTTTTTTCTTCTGGTTTAAGATCCTTATTTTTAAGTTACCTTATTTTATTTATTGTACATACTTTTTGATTATTATTTATTGTTATTTTGCTTCTATTTATTTTGTATTTTTTGTACATATAGTGTGAATGTTTTCCTACCTTACTTTAACTAATGTCCAAGTGTCAGTTTGTTATAATAGTCAATAAATATATAAATAGAAAAAAAAATGTTCATAATTGATTTTACTATATTTTTATAATAATCATTTTATTTAAAATGTTTTTAATAATATTTACTGAAATATTTTTAATTTACTACAAAAAATATATTATTAATTATTCCAAAGAATATTTCTGTAAATTATTTATTAAAAATCTATAAATGTTTGGAAATTTATTTTTAGAATAATTTACTCCAAAAAAAAAATAGAATTATTAGAAAATTATTTAAAGTAATGGCGTAATTAAGGATCAGGGACAGAATTAGGGAGGGACAAAGGGGGCACTTGTCCCAGTTGGAGGAATTCAGATGGCGGCAAACTCCAATCGATTTTTTTTTTAACTTAAGAAAAAAAATCTGTTTACACTTCTTGGCTGTTTCTACGTAAATTTTGCAGATGAAATGAGTTATTGTTATTTGATGATGATTATGTTACCTAAAATATCATAAAAAAATGTTGAATTTTATTTGGAGCGGTTGGAGGAGAAAGAAGTGGCGCCAAAATCAAACTACCGTCATAGCAAAGGTTCTTGTTATGACCTAAAAAAAATTCTGGTGATGAAGGATTTTTGCTCAATTTTCTAGCTGTCTGCATGGATTTATCCAATGCCATAATTAATAATAATAAAAGGATTTTTGCGTCCCAATGCATGCGTTTTGCCAATGGACCACTCCTTTCGAAAAAATAATCAACTTTATTCTTACCCTCTAGATATTATTTTAGCTAGCAACATTTTTTTTTACTTCCAAACTCATGCAGATTGGTGGAGGATTGCTCTAGAGGTACAGTTAAACTTATTCTAACCAGAATGGGAAGGTCGGGAGATTCATACTGTAGATCCGCCACAAAATAAATTTTAAACCGCTCTGGCTGGATTCGAACCGGTTTGGCTAAATTTAAGAATGTTAAATCGCGTAACGTCTTAACGCACATCGCGACCTCTACCAAACCCTAAACAATGTGATTGTAAAAAAACAAAACAAATATTATAAGTACTGTACCAATCTTCAGATTATCAAGAGATAATCATTGAAAAATATACAAAATATTATCTTTCATGAGATAACGAAACATACATTCTACACATTTATATGAAATTATATCTGGGCCCAGGAGGTAAAGACCACCATGTCCATTATTTTATTAAATAACTAGCTTTACCCGGCCACGCGCTGCTGTGGCTTAGCCTGGCAAAATGAAAAATAATGAAAATGAAAATAGATAGCACAAATGAGTAGATTAGTAGCAAA